CCCGAATCACTGACCACTGAGGGTGGCTGGACCATAACTCTGCCTCTCGACAACCCTGAAATTATATCTTTGCTGCTGGCCCGGAAAATGAATTTGTGTGTGCTGAATGTTGGGAATATATCCGCTGGTGCAGGATGCTTTCACCCAGGCATCTGCTCCAAGAACATGGGCGCAAAAACGGTTCATCTTACACATGGTCCCACCACGACTTAGCCTCGCAACACGACTGATGGAAGTTGAGAGGCACTTCCAAGTTCGCTTCATGGAGACACACGGACAGGCGCAATGCTTCGGTCTTGGACGAGAGATACCTTAACGAGCAAAAGCAAAGTCAACACTGACAGGCGACTGAACTGAAGCACCAAATCGCTACCGCTGCCAACACTCAGTGATGACTCACGCATGAACCTGTCTATGCCTCCTCCGGGCAGGCATATCCAAAGATCAGTTCAACCTCTGTGAAGAAAGCATAAACCCGGGGCAGGGGACCTCTTAGGGCAACACTTTGGAAGGGCTCGCCAGCGCTCAGGTGGCGCGAGACTTAGGTCGAGCAGCAAGCTTCAGCCACTGCGCTCCTTCTGTCCTAAAGGGATCCCTGAGGGACCTTCATGGCTCGTTTTGCCCTGTCTCGTCATCCGTGCTGCGGGTACCGGTTGTTGGTGCTTGAGTCAACCCCAGTGCACAACACTTGATGCCAACCCAAGCCGGGGTGAGATATCAGAAAAATAATCTTTGGGTGCTATTCGCGGATCCTGGCGCCGCTTTGTGCCGGTTTGAGGAGCGTCTGCAAACCTCCAGTCAGCAGCCCCCACTTGGCTGGGGCCTTCAATGGGGCCGTGCTTCCATGCATCTGTACGAATCTCATGAACAAACTGGGCTGGCCAGCCAGCGAGCCCCTGCCACATGTTCTTCAGCGTTTGCATGCAGTAGGCTTGCGTTGTGCAGCTGGCCTTTGCAAAGCAGCCGTTGCCTTTCATGTAGAAGGGCTTGATCTCCTCCCACAAGCCCCTTGTGCCGTCAACCCTCATGCCCCAAGCGCCAGTCACATGGAACACAGGGCCAATTTCAGCGATGCCTGTCCTTGGTCAAGGAGCAAGCAGGTGCTTCTCAAAATGAGGGATCCATTTTGAGTGCTCCACAATCCACAAATGGGAATATAGTTGGTTGGTTGCCTCTTGCATACCGTTGAAACCGAATCTAGACGTTTTGCAAACCTCCCAAATAGTGACAAAGCACTGAACATGCACAGGTACAACCCCAAGCATCACTGACCTCCCTTTGAAGGGGGCAACCCGTTTGAAACCCCAGACATCCAGCCATGGGCACACGGGCAGTTGAAACACGAAACCCTGTTCAAACCCTTCAATAACAAAACTCGGGGTACCAATTTTAAGGGAACAAACCGCTTCACCATTCACACACCCCTGAGGGCGCCCCCCAAACACACACGATCCCCCGCAACCACACCCTCTTGGGAAAGACTAAAATCGACGGTGCGATTTGGGTAGTCCTCTCTAAAAGTTCTGTGCACCACGGCAAAAATATGCCATTTTGGGATAAGTGTCCCCAGGAAAAGATCTCTATGAACCACGCCAAAACCCCCTTCAACCCATCCAACAGCTCCCACCGCACCCCGCCCCAGGCACCGGGCACCGAGCAAACCAAACCCGCGCTCCTCGCAGAGCACCTCCACACGGCCCAGCTCCAGGCTGCCGCGCAGGGGGTTCTCCGTGAGGCGCAGCAGCCGCCTGGGTCGGGGCTCGAGGCTTTTCCGTGCGCCATGGTGTTGTACTTGGAGTCCGTTTGTCTAAAGCTGAATGAGGGGACCTCGTTTGTCTGCGCATTCTACTTATTTGTCGAATTAAAATGGACTAAGAGCTGAACTAATGGTGAGGGGTCCAGTCAAAGTCCATGTGACTATGATTCCAAGAGCTGAATTAAGGGACCTTTTTGTCATGGTGTGCTCGTCGTATCCCAGGGTGAGCTGGCCATACAATAGGGCAGATTTGTGAGGACAACCAACCAGGTAGTTGGAACAGAACGAACACCAGGTGTCTGACCCAACCTGCCTGGGACCCTTTTTGTTGGGTTTGGAAAATGAAAAGCCCGACAAAAAGGGATCTGGGTGTCAGTGCATTCAGGGTTCCCGTGTTGAGGATGGCTTTCAAATTCAGACATGAGCAGCGACCACAACCCGAGCTGACATGGGGTTCTACTGGCATGGCCACAAAGGTTAATATCAAGCTTATGGAAATCCTGATCAAGCCAAGTAGTAGAAACACCTAGAAAATGGCCAATGGGGTTTTGGGCGATGCTGAGTTGGGGTTGACCATGTTTAGTTTCAACCCGCGCAAACAGAAAAAATGGAATACGACCACAAACTGGCTTTCAGATGCACTGTAGTTGATACTCAGGTAGGCCATCCTTATGACTTTATCGCTTCAATCGCGGCTCCCTTTCAAAGACAAACGTAGTCTTCCGTTAAGGGCGAAATCGGCTGGGGCAAGCAAAACTTCATGTTGCAAAACCTTTAGAGCCAAACATCTAGAAGCATGTGTTTTATAGATAACGCTTGTGGGGATTTGGTGCTTGAATAGAGCCGAGGGGCAACCTATCTGCAAAGCACTCATTGAAAGGGGTCTGACGAAGAGGATCGCACCTACCCTCGAGTTCCCAATTTTACTTCACCATGGGACAAACGGACCACACTACACAAGCCCTGTGATACTTGATCCCTACCCAAAATTCAATGCCAACCGATTATCTAACCTCCGCTTCAATGGCTTCTGGTTAGCTGACTGGCCCAAAAGAACCTGGGGGCTTTCAGTTATTGCCAACATCACGGAGCTCTTCAATTGGGGCATTTGCCTTCAGCCATGCAGATCTGAGGCCGGGCAAGCTCAAACCCAGGGACTCAGCGATTGCTATCTAAAGCCTGGGGTTGAGTCTGCACGGTCAGTCCAACACACGGCCGGACATGGACCCTTGGCAAAACATCATCTGCTTGCCCCAAAAGGGAACAAAAGGTGAGCTAGGCCTGAGGAGCAAAATGGAGGCCTGCGTGCGCGCTTCGGCCGTTCGATGACTTTTTTGGCAAAGCGGCAAGTTCTGGAAGAGCTGGATCACCGGAAGACTTGCCACGCCTTCAGCGCGAGAACAACCAAAATCGAGCGCGACACCGTTCTGCGAATTTATAGGGTTGTTCACAGAACCTGGTGCAAAAGGCTTGAGGACGGTCAATGAATCCGTCATGTTCTTTCTGCACGAACCTCAATTGAGGACCCCCAACTTGAAACACACGGAACATGAGCCAAGTAATTAAGAGGATTGCACAAACGCAGGAAAAATGCCGCACGAACTGGAACTCGGCGTAAACGCAAACAACACAAAGGTTTGACTCAGTGAGACCGGCATTGCTGGCAAGAAGATGGCAACACATAAAACTTACTCAACTTTTGCCCCTGAAATTTCTCTTTATGACCCTGGTCACTATTTGAACTTTGAACCATGTCGTCATGTTCAAATGACATCCTAGAAACCAGCGTGCCACAAGACGCCACTCGCCGCGCCTGTAATCTCGTTGGAGGAAAGGTCCAACCTGAGAGCCAACGTGACGAGCAAGCACTTCCAGCGTGCCATAATGACCGTTAGGCTTCGCCTTGAGGAGATTTGGGATACAAAACAGCCAGATGGACTTCGACTGAAATACGGCGGATGGAACAGCACCCATTCTGGTAGATGAACACCCGTTAAATCAGCCAACTAAATGAAGCAATTCATGAATTGAATCAAACATCAAATTCAAGGAGTTCCTGGCTCTGACACTTTCGCGTTTTGAGCAGCGACCGGAACCCATTGACTTTGGGTTTTACCAAAAGGGTCACAACACTTTATATATTCTGGGCTCCAACATTCCCAAACTTCAAGGGGTAGTTATATCTAAGTACGGACCCGGCCAAGCGGAGTCTTGGCCTTCTTGTTTAGCATCCACTCAAGAAAGTGGGATTTTTACAAATGGGCACGATGTGGACCTCCCCTCAAAGTATAAAGGAGCCATCCGTTTGGTTTTCCTTTAGATCAAGATCCGCTTAGATGTTTGTTTGGATTGGCTGCTTGGACCTTTGCTTTGTTGAATAAACCAAGGGTACCTTCAAGAAAAACCAAATCGGGTCAGCCCAATGCTCTCAGGATGCTGCTCCTCCAGCGAAGGGAAGTAGGACATGGTCGTCCCAGTGGCAGTATCTGGTGCATCGTCCTGTCCAAGAGAACCCCCTTGGACATGCGAAAGACAATTAGGTTTGTTGAAACCACCCTTAATTGGAACGGATGGTTCAAAGACCTTCCAAGAAATAGTTGCTGGCGATAAATCCATAGTCTGGAGTCTTGATGTTCCTTTCTCAAATGGTTGAAGCAGCCCACACCCCGTGTTTGAGATACTCGAATTGGCTTAAGGTGTTTCCTTTCAGGCACACCACGAGTTTCCCCAAGTTCAGCCTGGAATGTAAGACCTTCCTAGACCGTGGCCAAAAAACGGGGTCTGGGACGCCCTTCCTGAGCGATCTGGACAAAACAAGTCCAAACTTGTTCGCCACCAAAATGGGCTTTCCCAAAAGACTCAAATGCAGGAATAAGAAGTGAAGGGATTTAGGTTTGTCTCAAAACTGGGAAACCACCAAAATGGACGGTGTCTTTTTGGTTTCCCTTTAAAGCCCACCAAAAGGGGGGTTCCCTTCCTAAAAAACGACACCCATTTTGCCCGAGTGAAAATAGGGCCTTGAGGCGCTTCACGCGGTTGGACACCAGCGAGAGCTTCCGCAGCCGTGGCACTGCATCGAGGGACCGCCTGCAAAAGCTGAACTGCTGGGCCAAACCTTTGGCTGAAATGCTGCAGGGTTCCCTTTATCTCCCCTTACATCACCAAGGGAAATTTACCTCAAACCAAGGTGATGCCTATGGCAAATGCAGCGGTGGTCAAACAACCTCGAAAACCTCCGACATTCCTAGAGCGAACGGAAGCTGTTCTTTCCAAGCTGCCACTGCATGAACTGCACCAGGTCATTGGAATCCAAAATGAGCTCCTCCAGCACCTGTCAAAGTTTGGCGCACTCGCGGACCAAAGCAACAAATTGCTTTGTCGATGCTTGACTCGCTTCCTGAGTGGATTGGCCAGCAAAATGCCTGAAGTGTCTGTTCACACCAAAAATAGTCTTCCCAAGTATAAAGTCCAAACACTTGTTATCCGATGCGGGTTGAGCGATCTATTTTTTTTTATGCAGAAGTCTGCCTAGCAAATAGAACCGTTCTGGCACTTTTGGGGTGCTATATTTGCATCACCCGCACACACCAACACCTTCATTTCCTCCACATGAGCTCTGAAATGGTCAAAGGACACTGAAGGGTCCATGCGATAGCCCATGGGCCACGACAACAAACATGCGGAACGGGCACCTTTGTGTTCTCTCCTGGTGGGAATCCCTTACCTTCCCACTTTCATTTGTCTAGTTTCCCTCCTCTCCCCCCAAGAGAACTGATCAAGTCTTGCGCGCGTCGCTCCACTCTGGTCAGCTAGGTGCGCCTGGGGACACTCACTCTGTCACACGGCGCCAAGTTCTCGTAAACAAGTCAGTCCAAATGCCTCACACCCGCAGCCGATCAAAACAACCTCAACCCAACCGCCATCGCCTTTCCGCGGCTCGATTCTGCTCCGAACCGTGAGCCATGGAGAGACAGGGGTTTCAAAGCGAGCACAGAGAGTGGCAACTTAGAATTTGCCAATGGTCTGTTCTTGAACCCTCCTTTTCCATTCAAACATTGCATTGATCAGTCAACGGTTCCTTCCCATCCGGAAACCCCAACCTTTAAAATCTAATTGGGGGAACAATGAGAACCGAGGGGCCTTGAACGTGGTGAATGTTCCCCACCAAACAAGGGAATCTTAATATCCTCCAGCATCATTGTTTGGGCAAAGTGCAAAGATGTAAGCTTTTGTAAGATGCTACCAAACGTTTGACGTGAAAGGATTCAAGAGTGCCCCATAGCCCTTGTGTTTGCCAAATTGGGATTCCATTCCCCGAAACTATATAAGCGATGGCTGCTGCATCCCAGGATTCTTAGAGCACTCGCTCTAATAGAATTCCTCTCCACACATCATGCCTCTTATCGGCTTCGTCCCCTCTTCATGCTTGTCGCAGTCAGTTGATGTGTGATCTATCCCAGTCTCCATGGGGTTGCATCCAACTTCAACTGGTGCGAAGTGGGCTTTGTCCATTCACACAATCACAGAACATGGCGCTAAATTCAAAAGGTAGCGTATTGTTAGGTTCCAATGGCAATGCAACTGTTGAACGATTGAAGGTCCAAACAAGTGCAAGCGGAAGCAGCCAGTTTGCCACAACCCGCAAGCATCTCCCCCAAAACTTCTCACCAGGTCGGCCTGCAAGCCCTGCAGCTCCTCCTCCGGTGGGAGGGAGGAGATGCAGTTGGAGGCGAGGCTCAGCCAAGCTAGACTCGGCAGCCTGCGCTGGCGCCAAGGTTCCATTTGGGTACCGCTGTTTCGTGGTCTTAAAGGAAAACCCAAAAGGAATGCCACGATTTTTGGGGTCCCCCCCAAAAAGATGCACCATGCTTGTTCTCTTTAAATTGGATTGGACATCTTTTAAGCTTCCGCGGACCCTTCCGCCTCCGTTTAGCAGGACTTCTGCAGACAGTGCATGTTTCTCATTATTTCATTCCGCTTCCTTGCGTGGCTTACATTGCACAAGCTTTGCTTTCTTGAGTATTAGCGCACAAAGGAATGCGAAAGTAATGTCGCAAAGGCAAAAGCACTTCTCGGCAGCAGGCCGCGCAGCAATTAAGCTCTTCTCTTGCCTCTTTGTGCCCGCAACTACTCAACTATTCGCTTTTATCGTCTGACAGCGAACTGCACTAGCTGGAGACTGGCGCTGTGCTTAATTAATTTTACGCCTATATTGCTGCAATGCGATGGGGCTACTGATGCTACGCGAGCACTTGCCGGCGGACACGGGGCAGCCGCCAATCGTTTCCCCATGCTTTTCTACACACACACACAAACAGTTCGAAGCGCACCACAAAGCTGCTGCAAACCTTCCGCAAACCTTCTGAGAAGAGATCCCTTGGGAATTCCTTCCCAATGCTTGCGCGCGTGTGGCGCTTGTGCGCATTCAATTTGCCCCCAACAAACAACTTTGCTGTCCTTTGTGAGGGTCCCCTGTTCAGGTTGGCTCAAGGGACACCAAAAGAGCAACCGCCTTCATTTTTGGTAGGGCCCCTACATTGGCCCGTACCCATTGCGTTGCTTCCGCCAAGACTTAAATACCCAGGGAGTCTTTCGAACCACCGCTTGGCTCCAGGCCTTATACCCCTGCTTGGCGAGTGCACAGCTAGGGGTTTGCAGCAAAGGGATGATATTGCCATCCCTGAAGTTGTCCAAGTCTTGTCAGGGCCAAAGGCCGGAAATTCGGGCGGGACTGTGCTATCGACTCCGGGGGTTGGCTGGGCTCTGGCAAAAGGGTCATGTTACTGACGGTTGCTTCCTGAGGACATTCGAGGTACATCAGATCTATACTGCTTGGCCCCTGGGCAAAGCATTTGACTTGCTAGTCCAATCAAATAGCAGCCAAGTATAGTTTATCCAACCAAATCAAGTATAGTTTGGCTTGAGCTGGGGAACCGGTGTCTCACTGCAACCGCGCGCCTCGCCAGTTGGCCCAGCACGTCGCCATGGAGGCCGTTGAAGGAAAGGTCCAGGACCTGTCAAAGGGAGTCAACAGAAGGACTTGTCATGCTTCGAAGAACTGATACACATGTGTTCGCCCACAGTGGCCCAAATTGATCCAACAGCTAAGGTTGGGTTGGCCAAGCAAGGGGCGTTTCTTGTAGAGCCAGCATCTATCTCGTACTTCACCATTAAAATCAACCCGGATGTAATGCAAATCCGCAGCTGAAGTAGCTTTTAAGCTGGAAAGAGAAACAAATCAACAACCCCGGAGTGCGTCGTCCGCCCGAGCAAAAGCCATGGTTGAACATTCAATCAAAAAATGTGAGTGGGCACATCCACCCGATGATCAGCCATGAACTGAGTTGTCACCGGAAACCGTCCTGACTCGTACTAGCGGTAGCCCAACATCCACGGATGCATAATTTCAAAAAATCGTCAGTGCCATATGGCTGTGCGTGTGTTTGTCAAAACCAAAGAAGCATTTTGGGCATTTTCAAGAAGGAACCAACATGAAAGCAACCATTTGGAGTGGCTCCCTTGACATGTACACTAATTAAGCTCAAGTGGCAGTGGTAAGTTGTGGTCGGATTGATCAAATGCGTGGGCTTGACTGGAGGTCTGCGGTTGAAAGACTGAACAAACACAAATGTCTAGTGATTGAACTCCGATGCACACATTACTTTTGAGGTTCAATGATAGGAGAGGCTGTCAGTTGAGGAAACTTCCACCTCCCAGCAACAGTTCCCGCTGAAAAGCAGAAATTGGGCGGGCATGTTAGTGTTGGGAGGGAAAGCCAAAGAAACAACAGATAGCTCACACGAGACCAGATCCGATATCCCGAAAACCCGTGTGGTGCCTTTGTACCCCTCTTTTTGATAAACTCCATTCTCGAGTGGATTGGCAAAAAATAGTCTGAACTTGTTTATCTACCACTAAAATGGTCTTTCCCAAAAGTATGAAGTCCAGGAACTTCCAGGAACTCAGGCAGTGAGTAAATGTGGAAACCCTGAAATTTGGAAGAAACCTTGAAGGGGTCTGACTCTGAGGAATCTCCAAGCGTTTTCAGATGTCCTTCTTTTTGTCTCGGACCGTCGGCCTCCAAGCGCTGAAGGATGTTGGGACCCACCTGGCATCGGGTCACTTCGGATCCTAATTTCCGGGTAACACAAAGGAGGTTGTTTCCGCAATAGGTGTTTTGCACATGTTGAAACACGGGGTTTGTCCCAATGCAACAGGCAAAGCCCTGACTGCTTCAATGTGTGGATGGCTTGCTCATACTTTCGATCGGGTTTGCTCAAAGTTGTGGATGTTCGCACCAGGAGGGTGAACCACATTCACCTCGCACGCACAAAACACGGGTGTGAGTAAGGCCCTTAGCGGCTAACAACTTGATCATAATCAACAGGTGAGGTCTTGTTCCCGTGTGTGAGCGTTGAGCGCAGCCTTTGGCGATTTCAAATTCCATCGAGTCTGTGGCTATTGCAGACACCAATCTTCATTGAGTCAGAACCCTCGAAGCCACAAGACAACATGCCGCAACTTTGGCACCAGCTCTGCGAACTCAAACCGATTCCTGCAAGCTGAGGTGCCAAACATCAATGCGCGCAAACACACACACAGACAGACAGAGACACACAGAGACACACAGAGACACACAGACACACAGACACACAGACACACAGAAACACACAAACACACAAACACACAAACACACACACACACACAAACACACAAACACACAAACACACAGACACAGACACAGACACAGACACAGACACAGACACACACACACACACAGACACAGACACACACACAGACACACACACAGACACACACACACACAGACACACAGACACACAGACACACAGACACAGACACAGACACAGACACAGACACAGACACAGACACACACACACACACACACACTGCCGAAATGCCTCTGATCGAATGCTTAAATGTTGCATCTACATCTGCCACCTCTATGCCACATCCTGCATCCATCTTGTTGGAACATAATGAACAATTTGATACACATTTCAAGAGCTGCCGTCTCCATCCCAATGATCTTGAGTTGTAACAGTGCAAAACCAAGAAGTGCTCCGCCTGCAATCCGCTAATGGAGTTGCAGGCCAGGTTGAGGTTCCCCAGCCGCGGTATCCGCGCCAACTGCTCCAGGATATGCTCATAGCCTCGGTTGAAGCGCTGCTGGCCACAAATGGGTGTGACTTTTTATTGGTCCCAGACCCTTTGGTGTACATCATTTTGGTGGACCCCAACTCTGAGGCTCGCTTTGGGGCCCACCACGGGCTCCCCACACTCCGCGGACCCGAACGGATCCAACCCCCTGCAAGCAGGTTAAGTTTTTGCTGGTGAACAGGGAACGTGATGGACACATAGGCAAACAATTGAAGACGAAATCGGTCTGGCAAGCTCTCTCCCATCTTGGCCCCCAGCCCAGCTGATTGTCGCTAAGGTCCACCCGGTGCAATTGGGCGAAGAAGGAAAGGTCCTGACAACACACAGAACAAAACTTCCTGAGGTTGCCCTGTGCCCCTTACCAACCCCAAATAGGGTTCCCTGAAAGCAACAAGCCAAACAAAACCCATACCAACACCCTCCAACTGTTTTTTGGAAAGGACTTCAAAATTTGGACATGGTCAAAACCAACAAACTGGTGGTACTAAACCAGTGGGTGTTTACTTGTCTTCCCCTGATTGCCCCTCCGGAGGTCCCAAGGGTTGATCCGGGCATTGGCTATCCCAACACATGTGACCCAAAAGGTCGAGCCCCTCAGGTCGATCCCAACGGAAGGGTAGGCAATGCCAAAAAACCTTCATACTACGCAAATCCCAAGAGGGATGGAGGTGCAGTCCCTCCGCATGTATAACGCATCACAATACCTTTCAGGCAGACATGCACATGGTCAAATCCCGAGAGCTTACCTGATCTGCAAAATGCAAGTGCGAGTTTTAAAACTTAAACGAGAACAGCAAATTTGGAGAACGAGAATAATGGCCATGTCCAACATATATGCCGCGCATCTAAATCAATCAGATTAGTAATCGATATGACTGCATACTCACATGATAGTTTGTGCAAAGCTCTTTGTGTCAGCAAACATTTACTCGCGATCCACTCCCCACCCACTGGAAACGAACAAAGCAAAGAAGGATAAAGAAAGCAAACAGCAAAACAGCCACCCAGCCTCTGAATATTGCAGTAGTACGTATTCCCACGGTAGGGCTGGCAAACAAGCATGGAAACTTGGTAATCGTCTCCTCCGAATTTGTTCGTAGTAATTCGGTGAGTGTGCCGCAAGTACTCCCCCTTTGCTACAAGCAACCAATCATCACCTAGGCACAAATGCAAGCCTCGCAAGGAAGTCGGATCTGCGGAAGCAAACGGTCAGCCGTACATATTGAAATGCACATTTCAACATCAAGTAGCATAGCCCAATAGTGAAGTAGTCGAGTGACTGGTTGGTACAAGGAATTCAACCTTGATCCTAGCATCCGCTCTGGCTTCATGTTTTAGCCCATGGATCTTTGGCTTTGAGAACCCTTGAGCATTCCATGATAAAATCTGCCACGCCTCCTCTGCAATGTCCACGATCTGCAAGGATGACAGGTTCACAGTGATGACCTCGTATGCCAAGAAGGAGAAAATCCCCCGCTATCCGGCCTTTGAGATACCTCTTATGTGGACTAACCGTGCGGCTGGCAAACAATGATACGCACATGCACAGCGGTAACATTCATGTGCTAACATCTGCCTGCCTTGCCTCACTACCAACAAGCAACTTGGCATTTCCGGAAAAGCAGCCCTCATCGATGCCTACAAATGCAGGGCATTATAGGTGTTTCCCTGCAAGCACCTATCACTACCACATATCCTTCTCCACTGGATGTGCCACACTTGCGACAAGAACAATGCGTGTCAATGCGCATTCAGTGTCATGTCCTCTAGGAACCGTTTCCTCCAGGAACCGTGTCTAAAAGAAATATGGCCGCTGTCTTGCACATACTCATGAAGTTTTCATTGCAGTCACTGCCGGAGACATATTCTAACTCTTCAAGTAGATGAGTTTCTCCACAAGGGCCTACAGTTGCAGAGATCCCCGCCAAACATATCCAGTCTGGACAGAATGCCTCGACCTCCGACTCCAAACCTCGTCTCCGATGAATCTCAGACTCCAGCACCGTCGGGCGTATGGGAGCCCCCTGCTGCCAACAGCAGAAAGCCATCCAGGAGCCTGACAAAGGGCTGTCCCAGTTTCAAGGTTTCAACGTCGTCCTCTCGCACTCATAGCATGTTCACTTTCCGCATGCAGAGGCTCCTAATTAAATATTTGAACTATGCTCGGTTTCAGCGTTGCAGGGGTTGTTCTCGCGCTTGCGCTACTAGTACTTAGTATGGGAAAATCCTGCACATAACACGAAACCAAGCAATGAAGCCTGTGCCCTGTCAGCGGTCTCTCTTTTGGATGTTGAAAGAGAAGACAAAAGAAACCTAAGCATTTAACCGTTGTCCCAGGTCCCCGGTTTTAGGAACCATGTGCGGAAATCATCAATTGCTGGCTTTGAGTCATCTCAAGGCCCTTCGCAGGTTTTTGGGACAACTCAACTACCCCAATGAAGCATAATATAGCAGAGTTAATGGTAATGGAAAACGAATAAGAACCTGGTCCACTACCTGCTCCACTTGTCGATTCCCTAGTTGGTTCTTCTCAGTGATTCGCGATCTGATAGGAAGCGATGCTTCCAAGGAAGGCTGCAAACAAGAAGTGTACGCATGGCCATGGTATAGGTTCAAGTGGGAACCCCTTGGTTGACATAAACATGGGGATGGGGGGGCCTTTGGTTCCACTAACCATATATGCGGGCATTCCCTTTCAAATGTCATGGCGAGCCGAAGCAAATGCCGCTTCTCGATGTGTGAAATTTGGGGCTGGCATGTTACACATGTTACAGTAGCTCTTGATGGCTGCCCTCTCGGGCTTACCAAAAATCAAGCTCCCACTTTTGCCCAAAACACAACTCACCCCTGTCCACGCCAAAGATCAAGCATGGCGAGCGGTTCAAACTAGACACTTTTTGTGTTTCATTGATTCGTAATTACTGTAAGCACCCAACTTGAAGACTCTTGGTGACCAGCGAGGATAGCGCCTCTGCAGGAAGAGTCGCCTTTGCAGCTTCAAATGAGTCTCCAGTCTGTTGAAATTGGAGAACACCCCTTCGGATGGTTCCCATGAGGGGTCTCTACATTTGCAACACGCCACAACCAGCTGTACAAATGCGTCCCATAGGCCAAAAGCCTGTGCCCTTGATTTGCCTCCCCTCGATGTAGTCCTCCCCCATCACCGGGCCTTGGCCGCAACGCGAGGTAAGCTGGGAGGATGCGGGTGCTTCCAACAGAACACCCAAACGTTTGCAAGTGATGTGTTCCCCTTGAAAACCACCCAGCAAGTGCCCCCTCCATTTTTAGGAGCCCCGTAGCCACGCAAGAAATCACCAATCTTAATGACCATGGAAGTAAGTCGCCTTATGCCCCTAGGTGGATCTATCTTGCGCAAGCCCACAGCTTCGAGGTACAGATGTGCCTTTGATTCGCTTCACCTTGAAGCAATGCCACTGCAAGCCACTCGCCACGTTCAAGCAGATGGCAAACTGAAGCCTGGCAGAGAACCTGCGAGCTCCAAACATGCTCGTAATAACCCTTTTCTGCGAGAAAGCTGAGCATTCCCAAGACAAACTTGTCGCATCCAAAGGGCCTCTTTGGTAGACAGTGGCAAGTAGTCTAGAACCCCCCCCCCCGGATATGTTCCAGTTCCCGAAAAGGATGCCAAGCCCCTGAAGCAAAGTTCAACTCTCGCACTCCTGAGGCTACAGCTGGCATGACCTGCAGCTGAGCTCCCCCGTCCCCTTTGCAAGGAAATGCTGGCTATGGCTTCTGACCCGCAGGGAAACAGGAGGTTGGGAGTAAGGGTCGAAGCAAAGAGCGCTGACTCTTCCCAAAATCCCCAGATTGCACACGATGTGCCACTCAAATTATGTCCGGTAGCTCCTGACTGCAGAAGAACGGCTGATAGTGTGGAGCTCTTTTCACAGGGCGTCTCCTGTTGCTTGTCAATTAAAGTGTAGATTTGGAGCAGCGACTCAACGGCAGAACCTAACCATCGTTGTTCAAGCCCTTTCTGGGCCGTCCATTCATTCTGGCTCAATTGGAACTAGCCACAACAAGGGTCAATCTGGCTATGCCTCCATGTCAAGAAATCTGAGTAAGCAAGGGGTGGAATGCACGTGTTCCCTTTCTTAGATTGCATTCAATTCCCGAGCTCCTGAGCCGCCAGTTCAGCTTCAGTCCCAGAGAAACGCGGGCTTCCATAGATATTCCATTGTCCACACTCCAACAAAGTGGGCCAGGTTCCCCTCAGGAAATATTAGCATTGTTGCCTAACATTTAACAAGGGCTTGATGACCATCCCTATGAGTGTTGTTTGGGAACACTGAGGCGCGTTGTCGGGATCCAATGCCTCAATCCCACAGAAGGGGCCAGCTACAACTACCTTGGGAGGGAGGAGGTTAAGATACGGGAAAGTACATCACTCCACCAAAGGGATTCTCGATCAACACAAGGTTGACGCAAAGCAACAAGCACGTTGTGTGACCCCTGAACATTCAGTTGCTCACGTGACATTGGGAGCCTTGGCCATCAACGCACCAAAGCTAGCTTTCAGCTTGGCTGCGGGTAGCCAGAATGTGGGAGCCATGCAAAGCTGAATGTCTCCACAAAAAGCAAGCAGGAGTGCACATGCAATGGACAAGTGCCGGGACAAAATGCAAGTCCCCCTTCGGACACCTGTTGAAACACCTCCCAAGAGTGTACATCAAGCAAAGACTCACCAATTTCACTTGCGAAAACTTGCCATGTCTTGCATGTCGTCCTGTCTGCATTTCCTTGCCAAACGGCCATGGAATGCTCAATGACCCGTGTACCTAAGCAACAATCCCGCTTGGGCAAACGGGTAGCAATCAGCTCCAGTCTTTGTGAGGGACCCAAAGGCGCAAAGCCCACAGTCTGATGCGATGTCAAGCCATCCATCTTCACGGCTTCCCAGTTCATAAATCATTCAGAACCAACGCATACGGTGCATGGAGATTCCAAAGCATCCTGTCCTAGGGGGACCTACGCATTGGGCAACAAATCCTAAAGTACCCAGATTTCGACATGCTGATCATTCAATGCATGCCGGCTGAATCTTCTGGCAGCGCCTGACGTTCCTCGGCGCGGAGTCTACGGATCGGAGTGCTTGTCAGGTGGGCTGGTCCCTGTGGGCTGAGTGAACGGAATGCTTGAAACTGGGTGAAACTAAGCTCTGAGCCAGAATGAAAGCCGCGGTGCATGCAACTGCTACAAAGAGAGGCAAGTAGTTTCATTCCCGATGCTCAGGTCGGGGCCGGAACGCACAAACACGGCCTGTCAAAGGAACCTGACTTCGTGCTCTTCTTGCAATCTCCCGCATATCAGCGTCCAAGGCCTGGGTGAAGCGCTGAGATGTAGTTTTCGAAGACAGAGTACTGCAAAGTCGCCTTTCGCTTGCTCAAGGCTCTTGGCGGGGCGGTTGAAGATACACGTGGGACCAATTAAAGTTGAAGTTGTGGTGCTGGCAGTCAACATGCCAGCTGCTTTCCATAAACCACATTGCCCCCCTGCCCGCCAATCTGCGCACACACACACACACACAAAGAATGACGCCCACCGGAGCAAACGAGCCGAAGGGCAAGGGCCATCTACTGCGGTCAAAGCGCCTGCCTTCTTCACAGCTTCTGCGTCTGCAGGTCTGCCTTGTTCATCCTTCTCCATCCTTGCACACGTCACAACAGGAATCACGCTTGGCAACCACATTGGCTAACAAATGGGCATGCTTTCGACATGGGGAAACAGCGCCCAAAAACAGTGATGCATCCCCCCCCAAAAAAAGGTTCCATTCTGAAATCAAAGCAGCCATCGTATGCATGCAAACACTGGCCTTTGCAGCCGAACGTCCTTGGGCCGCTGGCTTGCAAACCACCAGTGTTTTATGGGTGTCTCCAAAGATAGGAGATGGACTTCCCGTTGCTGCACGTTTCAAGCAAACCAAGCAGGTAAGCAAGCAAATCGACACTTTGCAGGGTCATTGAGCTCTAAGCAAAACTCTTGTCGGGAACGCTCACACCTGACTCAACAGGCATGCCTCTAAAAGATTCTATGACCACTTCAGGTTGCCTCAAGTCACTGCCTCGCTGCATGTCCGACGGACGGCAATGCTGAGATAATGCAAGGACATCATGCTAAAAGGACCTGTATGGACGTGCAATATTCATGGAGGGTGCACTGAGCCCACATTCTGCTCACGCATTGCGAACCGAAGCGTCGTGTCCAAGGTGAAGTGGGTGAGGTAAAAGAAGGCCTCGCGCAGGCTGGGTCTCACGTTGGATCTCGCAAAGACGCCAACCTGATCGCAATAGCTACGTTGCCCAACTCAGCAACTTTCACAGCCAATCGACAGAATACAGGGAAAGAGCGACACAACACTAGCAAAAAACCAACACGACGGAAGGATGTTGATTTTCCCAGGTTCGGCGGGCCATTTTTGCCTAGGTTCGGCAGGCGACATCATGGTGCACTTTACAGCATTTGCTCGCCGGCACAGTCAACATCACCAGCATCGTTTTGAACACCCCCGGCGTCATCAGAAGATTTGGTTTAGACTGAGTTTAGGGTGTCAAATATTTTTTAGGGTGGGTTTGGCGGGCCTTGGATTACAGTTCCATTTGAGGGCAAAAATGGCTTTTCACGAACTCATGGTCCTAGGCTGTACACTACTGCCCGTCCAATGCCCCAACCGGCCCAAGGGGGAGCCTCCACACATGATTTCCTTCAAAGGGACAATGTATGAAAAGGACTCCTTGGCATCTCCATTTCCCGTTGCCTTGGCAACAGGGCGACTCATCCCCTCCCCCAAACCGGCCAACAAGGGAGGGGGGGGGCAAAACAAGCTTTCCTCTGTGCTCGCAAAGGGAAGATGGGTATGGGTGACTTCTTGGGGGTCCTTGATACATGAGACAAATCGCCAAGGCCCCGGCCGCGGGGACGCCCATAAGGCAAACCCGAGCCTGGGATGTTGATGGATGTGCACCCACACGGGGTGTGCTTGAAGCGATACCAAATACAAACCGCCAATTTCTGGGCCCCCCTGTTTTAAGACAATCCCACATGGTGCTAGGTTTTGTTGAAGGGTACCTTTTTGAAGCAGGTTTAAACCAACAGACAACCCACCGTTTCTTTTGGGCCATCAGTTTTGACACATACCCATGTGCCCAAGCTTGGAAGCTTGACTATGATTCAGGGGTCGGGGCATTCGCGACTTATCATTCATGTAGTGAAGTGAAATTGTGTAAAGGCAAAGCACAACCCCTTTAGAGGGTATCCCCCACAGGGGCTATGTTCAAACTACTGAACAATCGCACAACATGTTAATTAACATGGTTGCCAGCAACCCACTTGCCAGCAACGCTGTTCAACGGTGTGACAAATACCAGATTTCCACTGTAGCCAACCTGAAGAAATCACCATGAAGCTGAAGGGGAAACATCTCACCCACGGACGGGCATCAGAACTAGGTACGCCATAAAGCTCAACCGGAGCTTAGGTCCCTGAATCCAGCAGGGATGCGAAAAGCACCTTTCAAGCTAGGCAATCCTCCACGTGCTTGGTGCTGAGGCTGAAAGAAATGCCATGGCATGAAACGCTCAAATGGAAGCCGTTCAAGCCGTTTCAAATCCACTTCCCCTGAAGAGCTCAACGCAGCTAAACTGCACGCATGTGCGAGCGCGCCTCTTCGTCGTAATTGCTGCTGCTCCCGGAGAGGCGGTTCAGTACATCGAACACGGCGTCCATGTTGGCTGGGTACCTGGCCAATCGATTGGCCAAGTTTTGAGGGAGATCCGTAACCTGTTGTCCAAGAAGTGGGCAATTGAGCGTTACAAAGGATATGATTGCTGGAAAGATGGCTATCTGGACAGCTGTCCGGGTGCATCAAGACTGTGTCATGCCAATGGCCAATCCGTCCACTTCAAGTGGTGGAAGTATATCTAGCTCCACTTCCACGAGTTCTGGAGGTATGTGTATCATGGCCAAGGCTCTGCGAAACAGCAGTTCCAGGTCATACTCATGCAAACAGAAACTTGTATCTACTGTAAACGTATCCTCCTGGATGATCTTGCCCAAAGCAGTTGGCTTGCTGTCTGTTCTCAATCCCGACTGAGTTCCGTGACTACAAGCTTGGCTGAAGATTACGCGAATCATGTGAGTACAG